TTGCACATGTAACGTAGAATATATTGCAGCTCTTAAACATCATCACACGGCGGGTCCTGCTGGATCTTTAAATACATCGTTTCTGTTTTTCCTGAAAAGTATTTGAAAGTTGCTCGTCGATGTAAAACCAAAAACAGTGGATGCTGTGAAATGATGGAACATGCTTGTTTTACAAAATGTGTGTCTCAGGTGTTCGACAGGACGCTCTGCCACAGAGCAGCACCTCAGCTGTCTTCACCCAGCTGGCTGCCTGCCTGCACAGTCTTCACGATGCCATTAAAGGTGAGCACACAGCCACTGAGCCATTTTTGACCTGCAGCCATTCACAACCAGCATGACACACAGCACACACCCATTCCCCTCACGTAGCCGCTGAGCTGCTGTTGCCGTTCATAGACTCTTTCTGTCTTTACAACAATACCCACCAGCCCAGTTTATGAAGGGTAAACATCCAGAGGCTTCAGTGTAGCATCCATCACACTGCAGCGCCAAATGGGAGTGTAATTTAGTGCTCCCTGGCAGAGAGGAGTCAGTGTGATACAGCTGGCACATTCAGCCGAGTGGAAATGACTTCATGATTACCTTTGATTACCTCTGTCCGTTTGTCTTGGTTCTTGTGTTTCGACAGTTATTGTGGTCAAACGTGCACTTAAAAAGACCTGCAGTTTTACTAAATGAAAATATGTTACACATCATTTACACACCAATCAGAGAGGGACGCTCAAAGATGCTTTAAAATTACAGACGATCTAAATGCGACTTCTATTCTTCTGTGTGTGTTCAGAGATGTCGAAGCATTACAACCAGAAAGCCAGCTTGGAGCAGGAGCTCCCCACAGTCACCCAGAAACTCTGCACCACCACAGAGTGCCTGCTGGGATCTTTGGGCTCTCTGAACAGCAGCACCGGAAAGGTACGGCCAACAGGGGGCAGGCTGCAGCAACTTTTACACTTCCTGTAGCTTATGCTCAAACAGCATGCGTTTATTTTGAGCTGTGATGCTAACAGAAAACCTAATTGTGAGTAGCAATGATTTTCCCCTCGCAACTGGTAATATCCCCCTAATATGACATCAGAGAGCGGCAGGACTCAGGTGGGCAGTACTTAAATGTTCAAAGATACTGTCCAAATCACAGTTTTCACAGCTGCTCCCCCACTCAGAGGAAAGGGGGAAAAAATGATTTGACTCTTTGTGAATGTAGTGAAGCGTTGGCTTGAGATGTGTCCGCTAATGGGAGGCTCAGTCCGATGGGCTGCAGTTGGAATAACACGCTGGCACACGGCGTGCAGAGCCAGACGCTTTTTCAGAGTGATCAACTCTGCAGGCTGAGGACATTTGTCATCCTAGACGCTCGGTGGTGTACTCATCTCTCTGCTTCATTTTAGGACAGAGTGGATTAAGAAAGTAAGGGTTTTAAGTGGTGCTAATGATCTGTTTGGTCTGAATTAAATGAGACATGTTGTCACCGTTTTGTTGCAGATTGCCACTTTCTTCAGCAACAACTTGGACTTCTTCACGTCACCCGGCTACAGTCCGAGAGGCAGCACAGTCGCACTGAACCCGCTGCAGGCGGAGAGTATGTTGGCCAACAAAAAGAAGGCAGCTGCCTACATCCAGGCCGTCAAAAAAGTTAGTATATGCTTTCATCTGTTGGCTTTTTTTAAAATTCACTTTGACTCTTTTTTGACCGCCAGACTTTGTATCATTGAGGTTACAAAGAGAGCGTCTGTCATGTGTTTCTGAAACGCGTTCTAAACTATTCTCTTGAATATAAAGAAAGCATTGAACAAGTATTCAACTTTATGCTGGAGTTTTGTTATTGTTCTGTCTTATTTTAACCAAAAGGTTCTCGTCTTACAAAAAGACGACAACCTTCCGAGCAGACACCGCCTTGTCCCCTCCCTGACGTCTTTGTTGCACCCCTAGGGGGGCACAGACCCGGGGTTGGGAACCAGTAGATGTAGCTGCAGAAAGAGAGACTTGGGCTAAATTGGAAAACCAAGGAAACCTTTAGACTGTGATTGTAAAGAAGTATTATTTTTACATTAGATCTTTTTTATCACTGGGTCAGAGACTTCCATCACCATCTCCAGAGTTTTCTTCAATTTTAGTATTTGTATTAATGGTGTTCTTTGATGAAGAAGTGACCTTTCCCTTCTGCCTCTCTCTTGTATTGTTTCTTCTTTCAGCCCAGGCCTCAGTCCGTTCCTTACAGAGAAGCTCTGTCAAACCGTCGAATACTCACCAGCTCCACTGAGAGCAGAGAAGGTCTCAGCCAGCAGGTATCATGCCAACTCAAAAAACTGTGTCTATGGACCTTTATGATCATTTTTATAAAGAGGTCACATCTGGCCAAGGCTACAAGCAGACAGACACGATGTCATGTGGAAAGTTTAACCATGTTTGAGTCAGTGTGTCAGCAAGGTTTGGTTCCCTAAAGTCAGACTTAATTTTGTCAAGATACCAGATTTTTATTCCTTGGTGCAATTCTACTGAAACTCATACAACACTGATACCATGGCAACAAGGAACAACTCCTAGACAATTAAAATGTGGTAATTTCTTGTTTTTAATTATGAAACGATGCAACCAACTCTTGCACACTGTTGACTTTTAATTGCAAAGTTTTGGTACCGTGGCAGCAAGATCTGAAGTTTTTGAAGGCGTCAGCACTTTTCAAAACCTCGATGCAGTGTTATGAAGACATAAAGTAAGAGATGGTTCTACATGCTGATTGTAACTTTAAAGTCGATCTGGATGGTTCCTCATAAAAATAAAGACATGCTGCTCTAACACTTACAGACATCTCGGTCTGAACACTGTCATGATGTCTCATTCCTGCTGCTCCTGAGGGACGGGGTGTGAGGGAGAAACTTTGACAGTGTGAGAACATATGCTGCAAGTTTAGTGTGTCTCCTTTCTTGTTTTCTTTTGTAAATGTGGCCGTATGAAACTCCTTAAATGTGTCACTTCTGCAGTACGTTTTTTATTCAAGCACTAAGTCATCAAGTGAATGTGTAAACACAAAGTTGATCTGTCCTCAGGGCGTCTTTTTTTTAGAGCCGCCAGGGTTTTGGAAGGAACAATCTATAACCCTGGAACAAAACTGTCACATACAATGTTACAATGCAGAATATACATATATTATTTAATTTAAATTATCATATACGCACACGTTTTAATGTGAATACTGTAAAAACTACCTCATGTTTACTTCAGCATCTACTCACCACAGCACTATTATCTTATATTATCCTGTTTAGCCTTTTACATATTACTCTTTGCTTATTTGTTTATTTTTGTGTTTATTGTTGATATTTAATGTTGTACCTTTGTACAAAGAGAGCACAGTTTACCAAAGTAAAATTCCTTTTGTGTTTAAGCCTACCTGGCCAATAAAGCTGATTCTGATCTGAAGACATCAGGACAGCAGAATCACTTCCAATTGGCCAATGAATTATATGAATTTACGTTTTCCTCCTCCTCTCCTCTCCTCTCTCGTCTCCTCCTCTCCTCTCCTCTCCTCTCCTCTCCTCTCCTCTCTCCTCTCCTCTCTCTCTCCTCTCTCTCTCCTCTCCTCTCCTCTCCTCTCCTCTCCTCTCCTCTCCTCTCCTCTCCTCTCCTCACCTCCTCTCCCCCTTGGCCGCATGCAGGTGCAGCAGAGCCAGGAGAAGATCGCTCGGCTGGAGCAGGAGAAGGAGCACTGGCTCCTGGAGGCCCAGCTGGGGAAGGTGCGGTTGGAAAAGGAGAACCAGCGCATTGCGGACCTGGAAGCGCAACTCGCGGCAGCTCTGGGGGGAAGTCCAGACTCACGAACAGCTGCAGCAGCCAGCACGCTCGCACAGAGCCATGAGGAAGACGAGACGGAGCAGAGAGCTGCAGGGAAGGAGACTACGCTCTGCACCAGCCTGGTACACTCACTACTTTGGCTGCCTGGATGTGTTAGATTTCACTCTCTGCCTGTGGCACTCATGTCTGATTTGCTTCAACAGAGGGAGTGTTAGCGTCTTTCTTTTTTTTCTTCCTCTTGTCTCTCCCACGCTAAGCAAGTTTTTCACAAATAAAACTCAGACTTCAAATGAGCTGAGGCAGCAGAATGAGAGAATAGTGTTGTTTATACAAGTTCAAATGTCGTCACAACCCAGATCATTTTGTCTCACTGCTGTTTGTTCTTCCTGTGTGTCAGCTTTTTGTCCTTGTTATCTCTTACATGACTAGTTTGTCCTTGCAGTGTCAAAGCCCGTCTGTGCTCCGAGATGATTTTACAACATCCGATTTTTGATTTCCCTTCCTCATATCTTCCTTTTCTTTTTTTGTCGGTTGTCACCAGGTTGGCATGCTGTGCACAACACCCTCAATCGAAGATGTGAGTGTTCAAACACTTGATCAACATGCTTCCTTCTCCTGTTTCATTCTGTATATTTGAAAGGAGTATCATCATCTCCTCCATGTTGTGTCTGTGCTGCAGGTGGGAGACGAGGAGTCCAGGGAGCAGCTGATAAAGACTCACTACATGGCGAGGGTCGGAGAGCTCACCACGCAGCTCCAGATCTCAGACAGCAAAGCAGTGCACTTTCACTCCGAGGTGATGCCCTCACTTGAATGTTTATCTCGATAACTGCGCTGCGTCTGATAGCGAGGCGCCGACCTTTTCAAAAGCGAGCATCCTTTTTTTTTCTAATGACGCATGTCATCCCTGAAGAGTTATTAAACCTCTTACAACTTCCTCTTAGCGCCACTATTTTTGTCTGCTTCTTTAATTTGTTTGAGAACAAAGAGAGCAGAGTCTGAACTTAACCTTGTTTCTTTGTTTCAACTCTTCCCTCTCCTTTCAAAAAAACGCTTCCTTCAGTCTCATTATTTCCAAGCATCTCCTTCTTTCCCTGAGAAACTGACACCTCGTATTTTTAGTATTACGGTGAGGCTTGATCTGAATGTAGATACTTGTTAAAAATGACATCCAGTCCCTGTGTGACTAACTGACATGTCACTCATCCTTGTTTTTTCATCGTTGCGACAGGGATGCACCTGATGTTTGAGTCCATGTCTGGGTTATTAAAGTGTCACTTCTTTAAACTCTGCATTTATCTTTTGGTGCCATCCACAAAATTTACCCGTTACTCTTAAAAAATATCTCCGTTTAGTGAAGCTTCTGCAAAGCACAGAGGAGTGCGTTAAGCCTTTTCAGGGGACAGCGGTTGTTTACACTCTTTTTTTTTTTTTCCCTTCCTAGTGTCGAGCGTTGGCCAAGAGGTTAGCCATCGCAGAAAAGTCTCGGGAGACTCTGAGCGAGGAGGTCAAACTGGCCAATCAGAACATCACACGCCTGCAGGTAAATGACCCCTCAGAGCTTCTTATATCATGTCTGTATCGGCTTCTTTAACACAAGAAGGTTTTTCACCCTGTACTCATGGTGTCTCTGTCGTACAGGACGAGCTGGCTACGACGAAGAGGAGCTACGAGGACCAGCTGAGCATGATGAGCGACCACCTGTGCAGTATGAACGAGACGTTGAGCAAACAGAGAGAGGAGATCGACACGCTGAAAATGGGCAGCAAGGTACGCAGCACACAGACAGTAATAATAATCACATTTTAAAAAAACAACGACATGGCATGTTGAGTTTAGATTGATAAAACTTGGATGGCGTCTCAGTAATGCTGCCCTCATTTTTTGAAGAAGCGTTTTGAAACCTAATTTACCACACAAGAAATGTTTCCTCAAACTAACTTTGGATCAGATCGTTGATCAGTCGAGAAGCAGTCAAAGAGGAGGAGCTCATTTCAGCTTCTGCCTGAAAATGTAAGTTTCAGCTGCTGTCTCATTAAAGTCTTTCTATGTGATTTTTCACACTTAAATGTAGAAATCAAGTTTATCCTCTGAAAATAACTCTGTGAGTCATGACTGTCTACAATGGGTGTAACACCCGAGTCCCACTGTCTGTGATGTTTTCAGAGTTTTCAGAGTCCTATCTTCACTTTGTTTACATCGCCCGGACGGCCGGCTGACTCCTCCCCTCGTGTATAAAAGTTGTTTAATTGAGGGGGAACTATCACATGATCTTCAGAACAAGCCGTTTAGCGCCCTCTGCAGGCTCATCTTGGGATTACTCCAACATCCGTTTACCTCATGATCTGAAACTTTGCCCTCGTTTAATTTGTGCATCCAGCATTGTAACACTATATGTGAGTTTTAAAATGGGAATCAGAAGAAGAGGTCCACTTTCAGTATTTACTCATTCTTTCATCACAGGAGGTCGCCTCTTGATGCTGACATTGATATCAGCGTGGGTAAATTAAAAATATTCTTTGGTATTATTAAACTTCTATCTTATCTTATGTATCCCGGTGCACACATCTGATGCACAGCAGTGCTCAAAGCGCTATATTTAGAGTTAAGGTTAGGGTTTATTAAATTCCTCATTGCACTGCTAAGCAATCGGTCTTGACCCATTGAATCAAAGTACTTCAGAAGTTCAGTAAAGAGTTTCTCCTGGACTCGTGTCAAAGAGAGCTCCCACCTGAAAGATTCCTCAGAACTAAAACAGGAATCATTTATATTTCTTTATCAAAAATAGAGTTCACAATCTAATGCCACATCGCCCTCTGTCTTATGATTAAAACAGAGGGGAGAAATATCTGCAGAAGAAGGTATTCGGGGGGGATTGGGGGGTGTAGGCTGCAAGATTTTAGAGAAATCCTCGTCTGACTTTCTGTTAGCCGATTGCACAAAAAGATTTTTCCCTTTTGTATCCACAGCTTCAGATCCTGCCTCCTCCCTGAACCCTGGTCCCTCTGTCTCTCTCCACCACTTACTCTCACTCTGTCGGTGTTGAGTTTGTTGTGAGGCTGTAATCCTCTATAGAAGAGAGATATGAAATCTTTATCGCTCTGGAACTGAAGTGAAAAATAAGTCAATCACAGGCGCTATTGGGTCAAACAAAATTGAGATCGTTGGTGAAGTGTCTTGAGTTGTAAAAAGCTTTAAAAATGTTTGGGATGGTTCACCAGATGTAGCTTGTATAAGGAGTTTTTTTCAGCTTTGAATAGATCGCTAATAATCCTGACACTTTAATCAATACAGCTTTGGCATGTGCTCAGATCCACTCCAGAGGAAAAAGTGCTGTTTTTCAAGGACTGCGCTGAAAAGCTGATGTGGATCCCGACCTTTCAGTGAACCCTTTATAGATCTCCGCTTTTTGTTCTTCAAGCCCTTCCTTTAAAAAACTTCTACCTTCTTGAAACGTTGGTTAGGTGTCAGGTTTGTTTCTCAGCTGTTGCATCCTGTCAAATCTCTGAACAAAATAATCAGAAAGTTTTTTTCAGAGAGCGTGAAGGATCATTTCAGGTTTCCGGGCGGTGATATGTGACGTTGTTAAAGTTTCTGTCAGTTATGAGGTGGTCTGGGAGGTCAGCAGCGGTGGTGGTGGTGGTGGAGGTTGCTGCCGGCCGGGCCTGATGGGAAAAGCACCTGCCGGAGCCATCTGAAGAAGTCGTTAAGTTTGAGGCCACAGAAATTGAGAGGTCTGATTTTGAGCGTGCGTGTTCCTGCATGTAGGCGCGCAGCGGGCTGCATTCTGGGAAGTCACACGACCCAACATGTTGGAGAGATGAAGGTGGTGATTTTCTGTGGAAGGCCAGAGACCGGCCTCGGCATGTTTTAACACCCCTAACGGAGAGCGACTTACTGTCCTTGAATGCAACATGGTGTAACTTTGGGTTTCTTCTACAGAAACAAACACTGTTTCTTTCTTTCTTTCTTTCTTTCTTTTTTTAAGGTTTGTTTTGGGGCTTTTTGTGCCTTTAATGGAGAGATAGGACAGTGGATAGAGAGAGAGAGTGGGGAATGACATGCAGGAAAGGAGCCACAGGCTGGATTTGAACCTGGGCCGCCTGCTTTGAACTACAGTCTCCATACATGGGGCGCGCGCACTAACCACTGCGCCACCAGCGCCTCTGTTTCTTTATTTTGTTGCAAGAAGAATCTCATTCAATTGGCTCTGCTGATATTCTTTATATGCACGCTGCCTCATCTTCACTGAACATGCTGGACTCGGTGTACTGGAGCTGTGTCTCTGTTTTTGGTGTCCGCACACATCATCATGTCTCGTTGTCTTTGAACATTAGTACATCCTTCTTCATAAAGCCGTATGTTCTCCCTCATGTTCTTTACCTGACTCCTTTGGTCTCATGGACTCATCATGTATGAAACTCCTCGAGCTCGGTCTCTCTTTGATCAAAGAGCTTTTAGTGTTTCTGCTCGTCCTTCATCTCGGTCTGAACTTGAGCTTTGTATTTGCTTAGAGGATTTTGAAGTGAGTATCATGGATGATTTGACCCGTGTTTTACTGCTTATTCATAGACTCATGTAACCCTTGTTGGATGTGGTCTGTTGTTGTTTGTTTTTATGGGATTTGTTTGTGCTGCTGTCTTGGCCAGGACTTCCTCGTAAAAGAAGATTTTATATCTCAATAAGAGTATTCCAGGTTTAAATGATACTCAGCTTTTAGCACCATCTGATGTGATTTCTGTTTCTTTCAGGGAAATGCAAAAAAGAACAAAGGGCGCTAGAGCTGCCCGTCACTCTCTGGCTGCATCGGGCTTCACAAAGGGCGCCTTAAGAAGAGATCCGGTGTGTGGAGCCTCCAGCAGCGTCCTGCTACCAACAATCCCACCGTCTTAAACCACAGGGACGGTCGACGCCAGCCTCCGATTCCTCCTCCTGTCAGACGCTGGAGACACAAATGAACTGTGTGGAGGCTTGAACATGTTTCACTGAATCTTCTTTTTCCCCCCTCCCTTCTTCCTCGACACAGCACCACTTATAACTTAATATGATTTGCTCCCAAAAATGCCGGAAGCTTCTGGGCCGACCTTTTGGGCGGGAGAGAAAAAAAACTTTCTCCAAAAAAAAAAAAAAAAGGGACAGAAGGAGAGAGAGACGATAACGCTCACTGATGTCAACACTTGAAGACCTAACCCTGTTAATCAGTGTGCTCTTTTTTTCCTGCTCGTCGTTCATGTGACAGGTCATGAAACTGTCCAATCGTACGGCTCGTCTGTCAAAGTTTTGTTTTACACTTAGGTTTTTTAAATTCAATTAGAGATTATTGTGCAAGAAGTTCCCATGCAGGGGCCTCTAAACACCCCCATAAAAAAAACACACGCATACATCACAAGCTTCTGAGAAGAAGGGCTTTAAAACCTTAACAAAGACACTTGAATTCATTCCTCTGGGAGTGGAGAAAGGAAAAAGAAAAATGTCTGCCTTGAAGCGCTGATTCAGTGTGTTTACCTGGACTAAAAAAAAAAGGGCAGTTTAGACAAGTTGAAGCTCGTCAAACGGTGTCAGTCTGTCTCCTTGAAGTTACTCGAACAGTAGTTGTTTTTTATCACCAAAGGAAGTCTGGACGTGCACTTTGTGTGGCAACAGATTTCATGTCGTATTATGTATGGACTAAAAAGGGTTAATGTGAATATACACTCATTTTCAAATCATGATAGAATTGTACTAAGACAAACATGTAAATATATACAAAAAAAAGACATTTATTCAGAGGTGAAATCTTTATTTTACACAAATCTGGGAGTTTGATTTTCTGCAGGTTTTTTTTTTTTCATATATCCAGCGTTTGACTGATTCAGGAGTCTCAGCAGAGTGCAGGTAAAGTTTACAGTCAAGACGAACCTCGTCTTCGGCTTGTTGTGACATGAGTGGGAAAAAAAGCCCAGCAGTGGTTTGCAGCAGTTCATTCAGACGTCTTTTGTTTGCCAGTTTAAAACCTGCCAGCAAAACCTTTGAACACAAAGATTTGCCCCATAAATTGATTTAAAAAAAGAATAATCCTTGTATCCTCACGATGTAACCTGTTGGGAAAGCACATTTCAATATGTGAATAAAATCAAATCAAAAAAGGTTTGGTCCCCATTTTTTGTGTTTTCAGACTCACCTGCTTCATAATGATCCTTAAGCCTCGATGAGCTCACTTCTCGTGCTGCCTTCTCTGGGAGCTGGAAAGAAACCGGGAGATTAAATTGCCTGTAATTTAAAAAAAATAAATGAAAAAAAATGAAAAACAGCTTGAAACACACCCTGAGTCACCGGGGACAAAAGGCCACACCATGGACTCGGACATATGAGCGCTTTGGAAGAGGACTGTTTGATGGCGTCACTTTGTTTTGGAAGGAAAAGCATGTTGTGTCATCAGAGCTGAATTCATGATGCTTTCATGTCCTCCTCGAGACACCCAGAGGTCAAAGATTTTAAAAGAGGCCACATCCGCCTCTTGTGTTTGTGTGTGTTGACGGATACACTGAAACAAATAGGAACCAAATATCGGTGGTTTTCAGTTTTTCAAGTCATGAAGGATCAGCGGAAATTGTTATCAGCGTTAAAGAGATGTCATGAAAGATGGTGGGAAAGCAAGCTGCAAAAAAAATATCCTGCTTTTTTTTTTTTTACACTTACCATGTGTGACAAAATGAAGCCAGGACAAGTTTGAACTCTTGATTTATTCAAATATAAATAATAATAAAAGAATAAAAGGTACTTAGTCTTCCTGAGCATGATCCCCTCTATAAGGTCCATCCATAGCTAAAATACATCACGACCATATATGGACATGCTGCATCCACTTAAAGTTTATAGCTACATCTTGGTGACGAGTTTTATGATACACAACTTTTTAAAGCTTCAAGTAAAACATGATTAAAGCTCTAAACACGAGGCATATTGAATTGAAGAATTCGTGTGTTAGGCATTTTTAGAAACATTAAATCTGTATTCTGAATTATTTACCTTCAGGAGGTGTGTTTACAGAGATGAGGGAATTTTACTCTTTGTCTACAGACTTTAAGAGGTACCAGGGGTCTAAATGAAATCCTTGAGACTTTTTTAAAATTATGTTTTTACCCCTGAAGTAGTGCTGTAGTCAAGACCACACTAACCAAGACCAAGACCATACATATCAATTATAAATTATTTTGTGTCTCTGATTACGACCTGAACACCGGGAAGGTTGCAGCTGTAACCAGGGGTGTAAACAAAACTACAAATGGATTAAAGTTATTTGTTGTTTTAGGGGCGTTTTTCTTTCTTATCGCAGTGATGACGTGGAAAACTGGCTTATCAGTGGTGTTCATGTACAGTCTGGATTTAAAATCTGGAGTCTGCCCAGTCTGAGACCGGGACAAGACCGAGTTGAAATGCTTTCAATTACGAGACGAGACTGAGACCTTTAAAAAGTACCCCAAAAGGTCTCATTTTCTACTGAAGAGGATCAGGGCCAGGCGTGAGACAACTGAGAGGAGGGCGATTTATTTTACATCATTCACTTCTAGAAAAAAAGTGTAAATGTGGAGAATAAAGTTTAAATATAATTTCAAATATATATAAAATCAAAACATTAACAAAATTGTGTTTCAACTTAATTGTCAACATTTTAAATGTTTTCTCATAATTATATTTTTGATTTGTTCTCTACATTTCGACCCCAAATATTGTGACATACTTCTCGAAACTGTATTTCAACTTTATCCCTGACACTGCAACTTTCAATTCTCAACATTTCAAGTTTTTTTCATGAAGTGCACAATGGAAACCAAATCCTTCTTCTATTAAGGTTTATTCTTCATGTCAGGCTCTAATACTCTTCCGTACAATTTCACCATTTCACAGCACACAGCTTATTATTATTTCAAAACAGAAAAGACAACAGCCTGTTTAAAAAATACTTTGTCAATTCATTCTGAATTACATTTGTTTTAGTAAAATGATACTGATAACAAAGACAACAAAGGATTACAGGAAGCTTTCAGTCTCCTGCAGGCTAAAGAAACTAAAAGGACAACAATTCAAGTTTGCTCATGTCTTCTTTACGCGCTAGTCTCTCGATCCCGACTTTTCCTACCGTCGTGAATGCAGCACGGCTCATTCCTGCAATGTCCCGTAGTGGGACAGTCTGTGTTGTCAGTGTGTGTTTTCAGTGTGTGTGTGTGTGTGTGTGTGTGTGTGTGTGTGTGTGAGAGAGAGAGAGAGAGCTCGGGAGGGGAAGCAGCGCTGTGCTGTTCAAACTCCCAGGATTTACACTCTGCCATTTTGAGGAAAACCGGGCCGACATTAAACACAAGTCATGACCCGGATCAGAGAAGTCCATCCGTGAAACCGTGAGTACTTCTTTTACGCGTCCCCCCTCCGGGTGTGTTTGGAGAAAGCTGCGATAGTTCAGGTCACTTCTGGGGGGGGGGGATAAAACTGTTTCGATGCACTCTCTGTAAATGTGAACTCGGTCAGTGTTACGTTCAGGGGGTTTTCTGCTGACTATGAAACAAGTCCAGCAGAGTCCACAATGACAACTTTACGCAGACTTCGCAATCAAAACAAAGGCTCCAAAACTGACCCCAGAAGTGGGCCTCTCTCTCTCTCTGGCCCGGGTCCTGGTCCTGGTTCTGGCTCTGGCTCTGTTGTGGATGACAGCACGCTGCTTCTGTTTTCCTTTTTCCTCTCTCAGGGAAACAAAGTTGCTGTTTACCGCCCGGTAGCTCGTGTGTGTGTGTGTGTGTGTGTGTGTGTGTGTGTGTGTGTGTGTGTGTGTGTGTGTGTGTGTGTGTGTGTGTGTGTGTGTGTGTGTGTAGAGTAGATCCGGGACAGAGTTCATTTTTTAAGTGTTTTTTAATTAATGAAAACAATCACATCACCCCCCGGTGAGCTGTAACTGTTGTTACGCTGACGTAGGGGAGACCGGGGACCATTGCAACAAATCCCTCCAATCAGAGAAGGCACTCATTCCGCACATGCGCAGTAAAGCCTGGCTCACACAAGATGTGAAAGTCATTGCACAAAATAAACTACAGGATTTAATAAGATCAGAGGCGCTGCATGTCAACAGGTAACTGCTCGGGGCGCCAAACGAGTAAGGGGGGTCCAAAATGTGCAAATTCTGCAATGACAGTAGGAAACCTCCCTAAAGGGGCCACATCTGAGTCACCCGCTCTTGTTGCCTTGTTAATCGTTGCATGTTTTATTGCTGTAAAAAACAAAGTTTGTCACTGAAAGTCAGAAAAGAAAAATAACATAAACAGGAAGTGGAGTAAGCGACACTGCTCGGCGCCCCAACAGAGTCTAGAACCGCCACTGACTAAGATTATCATGCCCGACGGAGGAACCCCCCACCTCACCTGACCTCACCTGACCTCACCTGACCTCTCCTGACCTCATGTAAACAACGGAGCCAGCAGTTAGATTTATGATCATAAAGTTTTCTGCAGAGAAAAAAAAACACAAGAAATCAACAAGATTTAAATCCTAAATCTAAAACATGTTTGATATAAATCATGCTGTACCCGACGATCTCGCTGCAGATCGGGGACGTTAAGATTGGATCTTTATACGACGCACTACGATCATCATGATCTGTTAATCTGTATGAACGGTTACCCGTCTGTGACATCATCAGGAACGCCCCCTGAAGTCTGGAAGCCGGAGGAGCTTCAAGAGTTCAAATCCAAAATGTCTGCTCCGTGCATCAACAGTAAAGTGTAAGCTGTTCACTAAAGTCTTTATTATCATCTGAGTTTTGTTTTAGTGTAAATCGATCACACCGATACGTGGACATGTTGTCATGTTACTCTCGCACGCAAATGGTCGTGTAGCTAACAGGGAAGCTAACAGGGAAGCTAACAAAACAAAGGAAGTGACCAAGTTGCCCGTCCGACTTGTTGTCAACTCCTGAGCCAAATGAAACTTCTTCTTCTTCTCCTCCTCCTCCTCTTCTCCTCCTCCTCCTCCTCCCCTCCTTCTCCTTCTCCTCCTTCTCCTCCCCCTCCTTCTCCTCCTCCTCCTTCTTCTCCTCCTCCTCCTCCTTCTCCTCCTCCTCCTCCTCCTTCTTCTCCTCCTCCTCCTTCTTCTTCTCTTTCTTCTTCTTCTCCTTCTTCTTCTTCTCCTCCTCCTCCTTCTTCTTCTTGTCCTCCTCCTCCTTCTTCTTCTTCTTCTTCTTCTTCTTCTCCTCTTCTTCTTCTTCTCCTCCTCCTCCTTCTTCTTCTCCTCCTCCTCCTTCTTCTTCTTGTCCTCCTCCTCCTTCTTCTTCTCCTTCTTCTCTCCTCCTCCTCCTCCTTCTTCTTCTCCTCCTCCTCCTTCTTCTTCTCCTCCTCCTCCTTCTTCTTCTCCTCCTCCTCCTTCTTCTTCTTGTCCTCCTCCTCCTTCTTCTTCTCCTTCTTCTCCTCCTCCTCCCCCTCCTTCTCCTCCTCCTCCTTCTCTTCTTCTTCTTCTCCTCCTCCTCCTTCTTCTCCTCCTCCTTATTCTTCTTCTTCTCCTTCTCCTCCTCCTTATTCTTCTCCTCCTCCTTCTTCTTCTTCTCCTCCTCCTCCTCCTCCTTATTCTTCTTCTTCTTCTCCTCCTCCTCCTCCTTCTCCTCCTTCTTATTCTCCTCCTTCCTTCTTCTTCTTCTCCTCCTCCTCCTCCTCCTCTTCTTCTCCTCCTCCTCTTCTTCTTCAGTAAACTGCATGCTTAGAAAATCTGGGGATTTTTTTCCAGTCAAGCTTTCCTGAAGTGGAACAGATCTCTTTAAATGCAGGCGGCTCACACAGCATTGTGTTTTTGTTCGGTGTGTTAAAGAAGTTAAGGAGACACAAACGTCGGCTTCCTGCTCTGCTTTTTGTTTTGACAGGAGAGCGGACGAGTGGAGTTCCAGCTCCGCTCTCGATTACAGAGTCGCTGTGGTCACAACAGCAAAATAAACGGGGGCAGTCGTCTCACTTTATTTATATATTATTCCAGGGAACGAGATCTCTTCCTCAGTGTGAGAATACAGGAACCATCCCGGGGAATCCAACAGGAAGTTGTCCCATTTAAACAGGACGCATCTGTCGTGTGTCAAGGAAAAAGATCAGCTGTTTTATTTTTAAGCCCTCAAAGTTCTCTTCTCAGTCGTCATATGTCAGGCGTCATGAAGGGATGTAGTCGATGCAGTAATTAGGACAGAAAGGCCAAACGACAGGAAGCCCTCCTGACAATGGATTCATCTAGAAGTTAATAATCATTAACATCACTGGCATGACGAGAGAGGTCACGTTCGGGTGAATGCAGAGCTGCAGCTTTTCTCTCAGATCCACATTTGTTGGTATCATAGCTCGAGGTTTCTGTTCCTGTTTGTTGTTATTCAAAACTCCTGATATCCTCATGTTCAGTCATTGTAATGTGGTCGGTTTGGAGTTTAGTTTTCTCTTACAGGTTGTAGGACCGTCGTACAGTAAAGAAGTACTCGACCCGTGGATGTTTTGTAGGGATGAACTGATGTGAGGAGTTGACGTTTATCTGTTTGTGCTGCGTCGGTTTGATGCTGTCAAGCTGTAGTATTCTGAACTGCTGATTTAAGCCGTTTTGACACACACATGAAAATATCTCGATAATTACAGGAGGACTGCCTCAGACATTCTCCTGTCCACACATGCAGCTCACAGCGGGAGACTCTCCCTGTCAGATGGGAGGGGGGGAGGGGGGGAGGGGGGGGGTGTCAGGCCTCAGGACCCACCTCCAACCTTTCATGAAAAGTCGCGACCCGAACTTCAGATGTTTTTCAACCCAATCAGATTTGTTCATTGAAAGATTGTGCAGTTTGGACCTCCGACAAAGAAACAAAACTAAAAAAGCAAACATGTTAAAAAAAACGCTTCATTGACTTTTTGACACATTATTATTATTTTTTTAAGGCACACATTGGCGACCCACTGAAAATGGCTCCGTGACCCAACCCACGAGTTGAGAAGCACCGCTCTATATGACGCTATAAAGAGAATTCTACAATTCTACAATTCACTTAGCAGACTCTTTTATCCAAAGCGACGTACATCAGAGAGTAAGAACAACACAAGCAAGGATCTAGAAAAAAGGGAACAATGTCAGTAAGAGCAAACGATCAGCTTTGAGTCTGATTGGACACACAGGTGCTGACAGGAAGTGACCAGAGGCAAAGCACAACATTGAGGGCAGTTCTTGAGAGCTCTAATCAGTATAGAAACCATCTTATAAGTCGTCATTATCAAACAAAAACCATCGTCATTACCATCATCATCATCAATAATATGGAGACCTTCATCAGAATATTTGCCTTCATATAAATGCTACATGGAGTTGAACAGAATCTCAACATGAATGAGCATTCTTTCACAACTCTCTGACATTTGATAGGCTTAATGATTGATTGATCGTAAAAATAGTCCTCAGATGAATCATATATGAAAAAGGCCTAAAGGCCCTGGTGAGAGGAAGCTCTCTGATTGGCTGTTCAGAGGTTTCATTTATCTCCAGCTCTCCTCTCAGGTTCAGGAAAGCCCCTTGAGCATGCCGCTGTAGTATCCATGCTTTCACCCATTTGTGTGGTTTCTCCTTATTTGTCTCCTCCTTGTTGCCTCTTTTCATTTTTCCACTGAAAAGACCAAGAACTGACAACGCCAGCGCCATTTTCAACTTCTTATCAGACATTATTCTCCATTAGTAGACGACCTATGATACGAGTGGTGAGCGACAGCGGCGTGAAAATGATCTTCTTGTGTCATAAACAACGGATTACCGCCCCCTGCTGGCATGGAGAGTTATTTGCTCTCATGCAGGAACAGAACAGTACGAGGTGGTTGGCCGTCAGCTGTAGTCTTTGCGGTGCGTTCAAGTGCAACTTTTTGGCCAAGACGAAAGGTGCCACTAGTTCTTTGCCGTCTGCTTGGTGTGTCAGGGCCTTAAGGGAACCAAATCCTCGTCTTCATTTCGAGGTTTTATGAGTTTATTCAACACACACAAATAAAACAGCAAAAGTCTTTTACATTTTCAACTGTGGAAAATTCCAAGTGCACCAATACTTCTGCAGACTCTATCAGAGTGCTGACTAATGCATCTCTTTGGCAACATGGTATGACTCACTTTGACCTCACTTTTGCACAAGGTGTGTATGCTATTATGGCTACGCTGGGGTTTGCAAAGTGCAGAAGTTCATGTGAGTATATAATTATAAATCTTAAAGCTGAGGGGCTGAAAGGGATTCTCTGTTTCTGTTTCTGTAACTCAAACCTCCTGAGTGGGAGATTTCTTCACATCCTGACTCTTAGCATGATAATAACATCGACAAAGAAAGTTAAAGATGGAGTCAGTAGAAATGTTGTAAACACAACATTCAAACCAGACCCCTCCTCCTCCTGGACTCATCGCCCCCAGAAGTAGGACTTAGCATGTACTGCTTGTACCTACGCTGGAAGCTAACACACGCTAGCACAAGCTAACCACTGGTGTAGTAGACCAACACAAGGTTCACCCTCGTTTTAGAACGCGCTTTATCCGCTTGGCATTCCACCTCACTGTGATAATAGGTTTTCTTCTTTGCTGCTACGTCCATGTACGTCATATTTGCTGGTTTTAATCGGGTCCAACCGCTGAATTGTCTCCACTCCTAAACTCACCTGCTGTGCTGTCATTGGCTGGAGGAAACACACCAGCTCTGCCCAGAAAAGTCAACCAAAACAAACCAGAACAGTAAAATCCAGTGAGAGGACAGAGTCACCACCACACATGTACGGAGGCCCATGAGGGACA